GCCATGTGCATAAATTGACCACCAATATGATCCAGCAAATAAATACTTGCCCTAAAGGTGAATGGCAGGAAATCAGTAAATGTGCATGAGCTCTTGATTTGCAATTTTGCCTATATTTCAGCAGTATGTTTGAATACTATTTTTTAGAAATTGTAAAAATCATTACTGGAATTACACACTACAGTACAGCACAGTAGCATAATTTTAAAAAATAAAGCTTTGTCAAATTCCTCTGCCTAGCCACAATGAGAAGATAAATATGCAATTCTAATGTTTTACTCTGTCAGGCTTCTCTATGTAGTGATGAGACACTGTTCAGCATTATGTCAATGCAATATCTAATACATACCAGGCCCCTGCATATACATTAGGCAACATATACAATTGCTTCCTGACATGTTAAGCTCCAACAGTTAAGATAGCATCCCTCTGCTAGAGTCAGCCATGACAAAGTAAAATATTACATGTTGCCCAGCATCTTCTGCTAACGTTCAAGTCTGTGCATAGCTAACAGCCAAATGCACATATCCCAGGCTCAAAGAGAGCTAAGAGCCAATGAGTTATTGATGATTTCTCCAATGTATATAATTAAGTCGATGAAGATTACAATATGGCTTTCAGCTATTGCTTTTTCTCTCCCACTTACATTTGGTGCAGAAGCCATACCAAGGTCCAGAATTTCATGGATTCTTTGGCAAGTAAAGGAAGGCTTAAAAGAAGATAAGTGTTCTCTTTGAAAAGTCCCAGATGCATAAAATATGTTTTCAGGCATTCATCAAAGATCAGCATGGAATGAAAACATTAAGCTCCTCCTCAGAAACAAATTACTTCCAATCTGCCTTAAAATCTAGTGTGAAGTAGAGACAGCAGCATAGATTTCTAATACATATACTAGACATTTGTGAGAAGTACAAAGTGCCACTTTTCACCTCTCAACATTGTTAAAGGGTCTGTTTAGTTACCATGTAGATAGCTGTATTGATTATGTCCCATCAAGTTGGTGTCACCTCTTAGTGACAACACAGATTTTTTTTCTCCACGATGATCTGTCCCTAAACGGGTTTTCAGGTCTGCAGACAGCCACAGGCAATAGTATTAAAATGGGGGAAAAAATACTATCTAAATCTGATCTTGTTAAACCATCCCAGAAATATTTTGATCATTCAGTATTTTATTCAGCTTTAAAAAATTCTCATGAAGAACTGGAGAAAAGTAGAACTCTTGGAAATGAAATTTATGGGAAAGGAAAGAAAGAAAGAAAGAAAGAAAGAAAGAAAGAAAGAAAGAAAGAAAGAAAGAA